CGCCAGGGGAGCAGGGGGGGGGCAGGGGGGTCGGGAGGGGAGCAGCGTCCGGGAGCCCCGGCGGGCGCGGACTCGGGACGGCGACACCCCCCTCTCCACTGCCCCCCCCATCCCCGCACCCCAATCCCTTTCCCGCAGCATCCCGGGATGAACTTCCCACACACCTAATACCTCAAGTCTATTTTCGGAGGGAGGGCTAGGCCCTTTCCCCCCCCCCGTGTGAGGGGGGTTAGGGAGGGGTCGGGAATGGCTGGAGCTGGTGGTGTTTCCCCGGGGTCCCGGAGCCCCCCCCCCCGGACGGCCCCGGGCACCACTCTCCCGCTGACCTGGGACCCCGGGGCCTCGGTGTCAGTGGGTGGGGTGCGGTGCGGGGGGCCAGGCGTGGGCCCGCAGTTCACCGAGGCAGCCGGGTTGCGGGGGCCCAGGCCCGCCACCCCTCGGAATTATTTGCTTTACCCCCCCCCCCCGCACCTCCCCAGCCTCTGCCCAGACCACGAAGGAAGACAAATACACCACATCTGAGTGAACACTGCCCGGACCCCCTTCCTCGCCCTCCACTGTCATTTCTTAATCTGGTAGCATTGGCTAAGGAAAAACAAAAAAAAGTAGTAGTAGTTCTGGGACCCTCAGGGGGGAGATCTAAGAGGGAGGTTCAATCTGGGAGTGAAAGTGCTGTTCTTCCCCTCCCAGGCCCAGCCCTGGAGCCAGGACGCAGGGAGCAAGCAATCTGAAGACTCTGTGGAGAGACACATACCAGAAGAAGGGGGAGAGGAGGGATCCCGGTGCCCAGGTTGCAGGCCTGAGCTCCAGTCCACACTTCTCAAGTAACTGCTCTCTACTTGCTAATTAATTTTATGATCTAGAGGCTTTGTTGGAGCCTCCTTCAGGAAACTGTGTTCCTGTGTTTTCACAGGCGTCTTCTATTTGTGGTAAAAGATAACGGTTTTTCATTGCGGTTGTTATATAAAGTCTTTTCTTTTTTAAATGTGTATCGACATTTGGGATGTAGCTCAGCAGTAAGAGCCTCTCCTCACATGCAGGCGGCCTTGGGTTTGATTCCTGGCGCACACACACACACACACACACACACAAGTGTTTATAAAAGGAAAAAAAAAGGTGCTGGGCACTGGTGGTGTGAAGCCTGTAATCCTAGCTACTAGGAGGCTGAGATCTGAGGATCACAACTCAAAGCCAGCCCAGGCAGGACAGTCTGTGAGACTCTTACCTCCAATAACCCATCAGAAAACCAGAACCTCCAATAACCCATCAGAAAACCAGAAGTGGCGCTGTGGCTCAAGTGGTAGAGTACTGGCCTTGAGCTGAAGAGCTGGCTGAGGGACAGTGCCCAGGCCCAGAGTTCAAGACCCATTAATGACCAAAAAAAAAGTCTATTTGTATTTCAGTGTAATAGTGAGTTGAGCCAGGGGCTGGTGGTTCACACCTGTAATCCTAGCTACTCAGGAAGCTGAGATCTGAGGATCACGGTTCAAACCCAGCCCAGGCAACTAATCACCAGAAAACTCGAAGTGTGGCTGTGGCTCTAAGTGGCAGAGTTCTAGCCTTGAGCAGAAAAGCTCAGGGACAGAGCCTGAGCCCCGAGTTCAAGCCACACACTGACAAAAATGGAAAAAAGAAGTGAGTTGATTTAAGGAAAACTTACCATTATTAATGAAAATAAAGGATATACGTTATCAGTGATTAAGTTTGGTCCCCATCCCATAGTACCTTTGGGCAGAGGAAGCAGGTATGAGGACAGCCGGAGAGTGGGCCAGGCTTCTGCCCTGATGTCCAGGGAGTACCCTGCCTCTGTGTGAGAGAGGATCATGGGATGTCCCAGCAGTGGGCTGGCTGCCTTTAGCTGAACCCTACACCAGCCTTCTCCCTTTGAAACAGGGCGGGCAGCAGCCACCTGGATTCCTGCCCATTTTCCGCTGCTCTCTGTGCCCTTGCAGTAATTAATTAAGCTGGGTCTGACTGCCACCCAAACTCCCTGGGGGCATTTCCTGGATCTGCTTGTCACTCTGGTCCCCTGGCACACCTTCAACCTGAGGGTTCAGCTCTGGGAATACAGAGCCCAATGGGCACAGAAAAGCCCTGCTTTCTCTCCAAAACCCAGGCTGTGGGCTTTTCTTTGTTCCTGCATTCCACACAGTGAAAATGCCCTTTCGTGCTGAGATCACCAGGTAGCCTTCAACCAACTTTGTCTTCCTGAAGATTTCCTGAGACAGCCTTTAGAGGTGTCCCCCCCCACCCCACCCCACCCCCACCTCTCCTGAAAGCCAGTAAGGAGCTTCAACCTAGAGTCTCACACTCTTACTTGACTTCCCCCGCCCCCCCCCCCCAAGGCTATACCACCACCACTTGAGAGAAAAAGAAAAAAAAAGCAGTCTTGCATTATTGACTCATGCTGTAATCCTAGTTACTCAGGAGGCCGAGGTCTGAAGGATCACAGTTCAAAACTAGCTGAAGCAGAAAAGTCTTCTAGACTCCATCTCCAAAATTACCAGCAAAAAGGTTGGCTGAAGGGGTGATTCAAATGATAAGATACCAACTCAGTAAGCTCAAGATACTACGTTCAAATGCTGAAACCAACAAAACACTTTTTTTTTTGCCAGTCATGGGGGTTGAATCAGGTCCTGGGCTCAAGGCTAGCACTCTACCACTTGAGCCACAGCACCACTTCCAGCCTTTTCTGTGTATGAGGTACTGAGAAATCAAAACCAGGGCTTGATGCATGCTAGGCAAGCACTCTACCACTAAGCCACATTCCCAGCCCACAATTTTTTTTTTTTTAATGTAAGTCCTGGAGCTTGAACTCAGGGCTAGGTGCTGTACTTTTAGATTTTTTGCTCAAGCCTGACATATCACCTGAGTTACAGTTTCATTTATGGCTTTTTGCTGGTCATCTGGAGATAGAATCTCAAGGACTTTCCTGCCCCAAATGACATCAAACCAAAATCCTCAGATCTCGGCCTCCTGAGTAGCTAGGAGTACAGGCGTGAGCCACCTGTGCTTGAGCATGGATTGTTTTAAACAAGGACTGTTTACCTCCTGCAATGGCTGAAGGGTGTAGATAATAAAGTGGAAGTGTGGAAGCCCTGCCCTAAATCTTCATGTTCTCCAGCTATTTTGTTAGGTGTTCCCTGTTCTTCAATATTAGGGTTCTGAGTATCCACCCCAGACACAGGCAAGTGCAAACAGTTGCTTTGTTTGATCTGGTCGGCCTTGCCAGAGCTCTGCAACTTTGCCCAACAGTAGGAAGGCAAGGTCCTCTCAGGTCTTTTTTTGTTTGTTTGTTTTTGCTAGTCTGAGGGCTTGAACTCAGGGCTGCCCCTGAGCCTTTCTGCCCAAGGCTAGTGCTCTATTGCTTGAGATTCAGCTCCATTTTCAGATTTTTGGTGGTTAAATGGAGATAATAATGGCTTGGGCTTTCCTGCCAGGGCTGTCTTTGAACAGCAATCTTCAAATCTCAGCCTCCTGAGTAGCTAGGATTATGTGCATGAGCCACCTGTGCCCTGCAATTAATATTTTTTTAAATTTAATTAATTATTTTTTGTCGGTCGTGGGGCCTGAGTTCTGGGTCTGGGCGCTGTCCCTCAGCTCTTCAGCTCAAGGCTAGCACTCTACCATTTGAGCCACAGCATGACTTCCGGCTTTTTTCTGCTTATGTGGTGCTAAGGAATCGAACTCAGGGCCTCATGCATGCAAGCCAAGCACTCTACCACTGAGCTGCCTTCCCAGAAGTATCAGTATTTTTAATAGGGGAAGATTACCATGCCTGAAAGAGCAGAAGAGATAGAAGACTGGGGCGGGGGGGTGTCAGAGTAGACAGCCAGTAGGTCAATATATGCAAAAGATCTGTTAAACACCCTACTGAGCACCTGTGGCTTGTTTCTGTAATCCTACCTACTAAGGAAGCTGAGATCTGAAGATTGCATTTAAAGTCCTACCTTGGCAAGAATGTCACTGAGACCCTTATCTCCGGTTAACCATCAAAGAGCTGAAAGTGGAGCTGTGGCTCAAATGGTAAAGCACTTGCAAAAGCAAGCTCAGGGACAGCGCCCAAGCCCTGAGGAGTTCAAGCCCCAGGACTCACACCACCCCCCAAAAAAAGAAACAAAGTAAGTGTCCACAGAGCTTAGTGACTGAGGGATTTGGACTTTTCCCTACTTTGAGAGCAAAGATAATACAAGGACTGGAGGGCAGCCAGGGATGGTGTTTATAGAAAAAGGAATCCAGGCATCATTGGCTTACTCCTGAAGTCCTAGCTACTCAGGAGTGCTTCCAAGCTAGCCTAGGCAGGTCCATGAGCCTCTAATTCCCAATGCCTTCTGATTGTCTTAAAGGAAAGCCAAAATTCAGGAGACCACCTCAGAGGCAACTTGTTCAGATTCCATTCCAGTGGTAAAGTGATAACTTCTCAGAAAATTCTTCAAGGACAGAGGTAATAAAGCCCTTTCTCTGTCCTTCACCATGTGGCACTGGGCATATGGGGCGAGTGGCTAGACTCTAGCACTTTGGGCCTAAAAACCTGGTTTCATACTTGGTTTGTGGCTTTTCTCTGCCAGTGCCTTGTCCAGAACAAATCACATGGTCTTCCCCCAAGGGAGTAGCTGAATTAATACTTATAAAATATTCAGAATGCTTCCTGGCATAAAAGAAATGCTGGATGAGTGTTATTACTGTTATTATTATCAGGAAGTACAAGCAACAGGAGCTTGCTAGTGGTGTGAGAGGATTTGGTCACAGGCAATTATTATGCTGGCAGCCCCATCAAGCATGCTGGAGCAGGGTCTTATGCCCTAACATTTTGTTGTGGCTATTTGGAGATGAGATCAAGGGCTGGCAAAAGAATTTACCAAGACAGAACAGGAGAAACAAAGGTTTATTAGGGTACTTGCGGGCAGCTAGCCATGCATAGGCACAGCTGACAGGGCTGGGAGTGAGGGTTATGACTGTGCTTAGATAAGCTGTGATTGGCTGTTCCCTGTTTTGTGGAACCTGTTGATTGGCTCTCTTGTGCGTGGGAACTGCTTGAGCCCTCAGTTTTCGTATCATTTTTCCATCTGGCCTATTTCCCAGTCTTGACTCCCTTCTTCGTTCCACCTGGACCTTGCTTATTTCTTTGACTGCCACATCACCTTAAATGGGGCCTCCTCCGAATACCAGGCCTGCAGAGATCCCAAAGCTCAGAGGCTGAGATCCAGATTTCACGGGCTGTTTCCGCCCATCTTGCAGGGTTGTTTTTTTTTTTTTTTTCCCCTCCAGTCCTGGGGCTTAAACTCAGGGCCTGGACACTGTCCCTGAGCTTCTCTTGCACAAGTCTAGCACTCTACCACTTGAGCCACAGTGCCACTTCTGGCTTTTTCTGTTTATATGGTACTGAGGATTTGAACCCAGGGCTTCATGCATGCTAGGCAAGCACTCTACCACTGAGCCACTTTCCCAGCCTCGCAGACTTCTTCTAACAGGGGACCCAAGAAGATGTTTCACTGGCCAGCCTGAGTATCCTGCATCCTGACAGACCCAAGGAGCTACAGTAATCTGTGTGGTCAAGCTGAAGTCATAGGCCTACTTCACCCTCCCCTCAATGGTAAGTTGTGGCCTAGTCCAAGGAGAGGAGCATTTTACTGTGAGCATTTATCCAAGGATGAGCCTATGCTATCCTATTCCATAGCACCAAGGTTACATGATCTGGGACACATGTTCTATATGTCAAAGACCAAATTACATTGGGTTCTGGTGGCTCATGCCTGTAATTCTAGCTACTCTGGAGGCCTGGACCTGGAGTATTGAAGTCCAAAGCCAATCCTTAGCAGAAAAGTGAGACTCTATCTTCTATTAACCCACAAATAGTCAGGCTAGAGGTGTAGCTCAAATGGTAGTCTCAGCCATGAGCAAGCAAGATGAGTGTGAGACCCCAATTACCACCAAAACCAAAGAAAAAGAG